AACTAATGATGGTTCAGGATACTGATCATGAATATCAATAAGTGATTCATTAAGGAAACTTAGTTCCTCAAAGAATCAAAGCCAGGGATGGGGGTGGGGGGGAAGGTTTGAAGAAATTGAATCAATAATCAAGATCAGACTTAAGATTTATAGCAATGCTTAGCTTCTTAAGGCTGAATCAAACCAATACATTGTCTATCATTCCCCCTTCATGTGCATTGCCATATTGTGCATCATGCATATTATTTATTGCCATTATGATGGCATTGCTGTATTATGCATTGCCAGCTAAGCCATCCTATTATTGCTTCACCTCAAGGTGCCTCATGTGCGTGCCATTAACCACAAGGGCACACAACTTGACCCTGTCCTAGAATCTCCCTCACAACCAAAACAATCCTCTGTGCTAGATTCTCTTTTCTGGGCACTTTACAGAAACAAAATCCCTATTAAGGAATCAATAACATGTGCCGGTCAAGTAATCACAAGGGATGGATGGCTTTCTTGATGTCCTCATATGATGGGTGAAGGGGCTCTGGTGGGATGCCTATAGTAGAGAAACCAAAAGTGGCGATCAGCTACAAGAGGAAGAAGCCAGACAGTGGAATGCTAGTACATGTTTCATATCTGGCTTCCGGGGGGGGAAATGTAAGCATATCACACTTTTGTTTTATGTTCACCATGAACATCACTTCCTTATGTCTAGACCAGGTCCGCACAACATCACACACCACTAGTGGCCTGCCAAAGGATTTCGGGCAGCCTGCAAAAATGCAAATCCCTCAGCAAAACTACATGAAGCTGCCTTAGGAAAGGCTTGCACAACATAAGGCTGCTTGTGTCTGCCAAAAGATTTGCAGTGGCCTGCAAAAAATGTAGAGAATGTAAAATAGGCCTGCACAACCTCTACTAGTGGGTTAGCAGAATAGGATTAAGTTTATGTTAGTTAAGTATGGATGACTTTTTTTATATATACATATATATATATATGTAAAGACCAAATAGCCTCTTATGTACCAGTGAATTTTATGATGTAGAAATCAGCTCATTGCAGATTACAGGATAAAATCATATAACTGTCTGTTACAGAAGAGCACACTACATTTAACCCTGATGCTCGCCGTTGATGCATCTGCACCCGTCACCCATAGGAAGCATTTTCACTGCTCCCTGCTGACCTTTCCTCTCACCCATTGCTTCCTTCACAGCTGGATCATTGCTGACCAAAACACCAGATGTTTGACTTCCTAGGAAAACCTCTGCTGAGGCAGAAGGGGGAAGGCCTTTTCTGAGGAAAACCTGCAGCTAATGACGTAGAACGCATGACTTGGGTTTTATCAGCACAAAGTGATTATGATTAATGTGCATGTCTCTCAGCCAACCACAGCATTTTCCCCTCTTCTGGGGTTAACCGATTGTGAACTAGCACTGCCTCCTGCAATTTTTCATATGCTCTCCCCCTGTATCGATGATGCCGCTCAAGCAGCAGGCACCCACAATCACAAGGAAGGTCTTGGATCTGGATGGCTCCCTAAATAAGTCGCTGATTGCTCATGCCTCAGTTGCCCTTGGTTGCTGACTGGAAATGTTGTGACCCACATTCCATTTGAGCCTGACGCCTTTTTGACAAGAATAGAATGTCTCCTTCAGTACTTCCCTTCTCCAAATTAGAAAAGAAAACCAGCAGGTCTTGGAATATTTCTGCATTAACTTGCCCCTTTCCCTCTATCCTAGCTAATAAAGCAAGGTGCTTAACACATGCTAATTAACTAAATGACTGATAAAGAAGATAAGAGTTTTCTCAGCCTAGTAAAAATAGCTATGTTAAAGGCCCTTTAAGGCTTCAAGCATCTAATTTTTTTTAAAAAAAAATCATCTATTCTGTAAGTATTTCCACATAAAGGCCAAACCTGATCTTACCCCAACTGCTTTTGACTCTCGCTAGGTTTCAGGTAACTCGGGAGGACAGAATATGACACCTGTGCAAATGAAGGACATTGGTGTCCAGTCTCTACTGATAGGGTGAGTCACCTTTTGAGTGGATAGGAACGCTGTAATGGAGCTGCTGGCTGCACTCTGCACTGCCTCATTCAGGCCGTCGCAAGAAAGGACCCTGATCACTCCTGCAACAAGATCCAATGAGATGTTACTGATGAGGCGCCCAGCGTACAGTCGGTGCCACATAACCAGCCCAGCCTGGCTTTCCAGCCTCACTGCCACAATGACTACTGAGGGAAGTGAACTGACCCACAGCATTCCACATGTCTCCATTTACTGGAACCAACAGTTCCACATGTGGAGGGTGTGGGGCTGGCTGTGGAGAACCTCTGTTTTCTTGGTGTTACAGGCCACACAGAATCGATCCATACTCTGTTGCATCTCAGCCTCAGAGGCTGCACTGAGGGCACCGTCACCTGTGAACAGAGTCGTGCACCAAATATTCCTCCACTTACCTTGGCAGCATGCTTTGCAGGGATGTACACATAGATGAAGAGATGACACACACTGCCAGAACTAGTTCAGTGTGACGGAGTCTCCCAAGGAAAGCATGAGAGGGAAGAGGTATTAGAGTGACTACCAAACTGAAGGTCTACAGAGCCATTGTGCTGACTTCATCGTTGTATGCCTGTAAAACCTGGACGGTCTACCAGTGCCATGATGGAAACTGAATGGCTTCCATCTGAATTGTGTTAGGAAGATTCTGAAGATCACCTGGCAGGATAAGATGCCAGATGCTGAGGTCCTTTCCTGAACTGAACTGACCAGCTTTCAAACTCTACTACAGAGATCATATCTCCAACAGGCCAACTACATTGTTCAAATGCAAAACATACGTTTGCCTAAAATACTCTTATACTGTGGATTCACACAAGGCAGGTGCTCACAGGGAAGTCAAAAGAAGAGACACGAGGATATTCTCCAGGTCTCTTTGAAGAACTCTGTATTCAATTATGAGATATGGGAGACAGTGGCAAATGGCCGTCCAATGCGGTATGCCCACATCAAAGAAGGCACTGTGCTCCATGGGCAAAGCAGAGCCAAATGTCCATATGGACTATCTGGGCCCCACCTCTGAGCATCTTCCAGGCTCATCTTGGTTTGATCAGCCACAGTCGGACACACTGTACGTCGGTCCCAGCACAGGGAAGTCATTTTGGTCCTCTTCAAGTACAAAGGACAGCAATTGATGCAGGGACAGTGGGCTCCATCTCCTGGGTGCCTTTCCAAAGGCTATCTCTCATTTTTGCAATGTTCTTCCTTGTCACATGGGCCTCCTGGCTTCATTCAAGTCTCAGATAAACTCACTTTCTAAAAAAAGGATTTTCCTGATCCCTAAAACAGCTAGAGTCTTCTCTCCCAGCGTACTTCCTTTCTGTATTGTACAGAACTTTGGACACAGATGCTGACAGGATGTTGCCCCCATTCAGGTAGGAGCTCCTGGAGGGCAGGAACTGGTTCTTCCTTCCTTTGCATCTCCAGTAGGTCACAGCAAACGGAGAAACGCCGAACACTGGGGATCAGTTCACTTACCTGGTGGTGTACTTTCCGGGGATGGCCATAGATGATGAGGTTAACACACACACTGCCAGAGCTAGCTCAGTGTTTGGAAGACTCTCAATGAAAGTGTGGGAGAGAAGAGGTATTAGACTGACTACCAAACTGCAGGTCTACAGAGCCCTTGTGCTGACCTCATTGTTGTATGCCTGTGAAAGCTGGACAGCATACCAGCGCCATGCCAGGAACCTGAACTGCTTCCATTTGAATTGTCTTAGGAAGAGTCTGAAGATCACCTGGCAGGATAAGATACCAGACACTGAGGTCCTTTCTCAAGCTAAGCTGCCAAGCATTCAAACTCTACTGCAAAGAGTGCAACTGGGCTAGTGATATGCCTGAATGCCAAATGTATGCTTGCCTAAAGACTATTTTACAGAGAACTCACACAAGGCAAGCTTTCACATCGGGGTCAGACGAAGCGATACAAGGATACTCTCAAGATTTCTCTGAAGAACTCTGGAAATAATTGTGAGACATGGGAGACCCTGGCACAGAACCACCCAGCATGGTGTGCCCTCATCAGAGAAGGTGCTCTGCTCTATGAGCAAAGCAAAACTGAAGTAGCTCAAAAGAAACTGAAGATGCACAAATTCAGAGAAGCCATCCCAAATGTTCACACAAACTATTTCTGTCCAACCTGTGGTAGAGTCTTGTGAGCTCATGCTGATCTGATCAGCCACAGCTGGGTACACCATACCTTGACCCTGACATACTGAAGGCATTTTGAGCATGAGAGAGGACGACCAATGTTTCCACACAGAGCCTTCACTTACAAAATGACTGGACCTAAAAAATGGTAATGGAGAGGGATTCAAAGGGACCTGGGAAGAAAGAAATGAGCAGGACCAGGACAATATCAGCCCTGACACAACATTGCAATTACAACAGCTGCGGAACCTTTGGGTGTGTATGTGTGCATGTGTGTGTGTGTGTGTGTGTGTGTGTGTGAACAGTTAGGAAAGCCTTCAGGGCTCTGCTTCTGGCGTGTTCAGATAAGACTGCTGGTGAGGGGCTTCCTGGACCAGCAGCTGGTGCATAACAGAGCTTGGCCACAAGAAACAAAGAGGAAGGGGGAGAAGAGTGTGGGGGGTGAGGCAGATGAGAGGAGGCATACACAAAGCAAGCAAAGACACAGAGTCTATGGAATAGAGACTCATAAGTCAAGTGGACATCCATGTCAAATCAGTTGCAATGAGTAAGAACTTGAAAAAACAACAAAGGGAGGGCAGCAATTTGGATAGGAGGGAGGGAGTGCTGGAGATGCCAAAGTGCAAATGAATCAATCCAAAACAAGAGAGCAGGACAGTATTATTACTACTGTATTCAATTTCATACTTATTTTTGTAAAGAAATGATCCATAAGTGAGGTATTGCCAGCTACACAGACAATCCTCTATTTCTATGGAAATGGCCTTAAATGTTGATAAAGGATGGACTGCACTTACCTGGGCTTGGGGTCTGAGGCTCCCAGGGGCCATTCCCTCTGGCTCCAGGCTCCCTGCTGGGACGGGTCTTGGTCCTCTGCAGGCTGAGCTGGAGAGGGAGAAGGATCCCAGAAGGGCAGAGGTCTTTCCCTGTTCTTCCCAGGCAGGAGGCTGGCCTACAGGGATTTACAGAGGGTGAGATCCCACAGGAGTTACAAAGGCCCTGGCTCTGCAGTTAGAGGACAGACTACAACCTACAGAGAGCAAGAGGCATCAGGAAAGGTCAGGTTTGGAAATGAGATGATCCCACCGTCTCCCATTCCTCCTCTTCCGTTCCCTCCTCTCCCCCATTCTCTTTCAGAGACCCAGGAGGCAGAAGGGGCTTGGGATCCCAGATGGGATGAGACCAGCAGAGCCTCAATGGCTCCTGAATCATAGCACTCCCTACAACTGGTCCTCTGCCCTCCCTGCCTCCCCTCTCCCCAACCAACACACACACACACACACACACACACACACACACACACACACACACACACACACACACATTATCTAGACAACAGACTGACTGCTTGACCTAGGAGGGAGGGAAGGTTGGGGATGGGGAGGGCTCTGGGAAGGAGCCAGCAGGGATGACCAGAGAAAGCCTAAGGCTCAGAGAGAAATCCAGTCTGGGATTCAGCCCCCTGGCAGGGGGCCTGAGGGCTCTGAAAGAAGAGGGTACAAGAAAGCAGGAGGCCTGGGGAAGGGAAGCACAGGTAGGGGCTGGGAGGGAGACATTCTAAGCCAGTTCCTGGCAGAGAGGTCAGGGACACTGGAGAGACAGAAGGGCTCCAGGTGGACACTGAGCCTGGGAAAGCAGGATGGCTGTGTGCTGAGGTCTAACTAGGTGCTGGGGAGGATTCCTGGGACCCTCTGGCAGAGCTTAGGCTTGGAATCTCCCAGGGAAGAGCTGACACAGGGGGCCAATTCCTGGGATCTGACAGGGAAGCAGCCCAAGACCTGGGGGTCCAGATAAGGGGGCCAGGCAGGAGCTGGGGGGCCAGGTGAGGGGGCCAGGCAGGAGCTGCGGGTCCTGCATCCAAAGCAGGGTCCTCAGCGCAGGCAGAATTCTGGGCCATTATTGGGGGGGGTCGGAAGGGAGAACAACTCAACCCCTAAGGCGGGCGGGGTCAGGGACCCAGAACACCTGGAGCCTGCAGGGGAGCTGGAAGCAGGACTCCTGGGTCTCCAGGGCAAATTGAGCTCCGATGGTGATCCTGCAGAGGGGGAAGAGCCCGGCAGTCTGGCGGCGATGGGGGGAGCGCAGCGGGGACCGGTCAGCACCAAGGCGGAGGAAGAAGAGGAGGGGGAGCAGGGGAGGAGGGGGGGAGCCCAGAAGGTAGGGTAGCAGGCACAAGGCACAGCTGCTGGGGCCGACCTACCTGGGACCTGCAAGCACAGAACAAGGACTGAGCTCTGCTCCCCGCGGGGCAGGAAAAGGGAGCCCCGCCCAGCCAGGCTCCGCCCCGGCTCCTCTCCCCTCCCACGTTCCCTCGGACCCAGCAGCTCACACCCCCAAACACCGACCCGCCCCCCCTCACGCCCCACCCCCCACAGCTCACCTAACGCAACCCCCATTTCCAGGGCCAGCCCGACCCCGGGTGAAACTGCGCCTGCGCAAGCAGACCCACCCGGAAGAGGTTCCGGCGAGCTTCTCCAAGGCCTGGGACAAGGCCGAGGGGCGGGACCGCTCCGGGAGTTCCAAGGAAAGGCCGCTTCCGGTTATGTCCACCAGCCTTCTGGGAAATGTAGTCCGGACTGAGGCTCTGGCCCGTGTTCTCGGCGGATGGGCGGGGCGAGGCCCACGTGGGGTCCGCCGCTGATTCCAATTGGCTGCGCCCAAGGCGGAGCCGGGCCTTCACCGCTGAACGTGAAGGAGGGGCCAAAGAGATGGGGCGGGACCAGAGTGTTGTGATTTTGGGTACCTGCACCCCTAGCATCTAAACCTCAACACCTGCACCCTCTGTTTATGTATACTCCTAACTGCCTCAATGGCCAGGAACCCTGAGGGTCTTCCCCTCACAGATTTAGTTTGCATTTTTTTTTTACTAGGTAAAAGAGACCATTCTTTGCCTCATTTCTTGCCTAGCCAGTGTCTCCTAATGCATCTGGGGCCATCTCCACTGTCCTGGTTTAGATCTGGCCACTGGGCCCAGATGACTCTGGAGGAGACAGTGAGGCTGATGACTCTGCACAGCCCTGCCTCACTTAAATCTAATGCACTTGCATGCCATGGCATCGCCTCCCTGAAGCCATGGTGCTCTTTGAGAATGAAGGACAAACATCAACAGCCTCTGTATTTCCAGGGTTAACACAATGGCTGGCACATAATAAGTGTTTGGTCACTAACTACTGACTGAGTGTGGATAAGGACAAGACAGGAATTCCTTCCTCCCCTGAATGTGAGGGGTGAGGATGCCCAAGGTTGGAAAGTGCCTCTAGATGCCATCATTGTCTGTTAATTAATTAGCATTTATGAAGGGCCTAGGACTTCCCTCTTTAGAAAGGACATAGGGAAAGGGCTGAGTTTGGGGAGTTATTCAAAGTCCTGGGAGTTTTCTAATAGAAGAAAAGAGGGTCCTGAAGGAGACACTCAGTTCTTGTCAAAGAGGCATCAGGCTCACAGGCAAAGACACAATGAGTGACTTACTTTCTCCCCCAAATCTGCCCTTAACCATCTTCACCACAACCCTATATGGTAGGTGTTCTTATTATCTTCATTTCGCAGTTCAGGAAACTGAGGCAAACAGAGGTTCGATGACTTACCAACCAGGGTCACATAGCTTGTTAGTGTCTGAGGCTGGATCTGAACTCAGATCTTCATGATCTTCTACCATTTCCTAGCTCTTCCAACATGGTATGAGTGTGCCCATCTTCCCACAACCCCTCCAATGTTGACTGGTGCCATTTTTGTCAGTTTTGCAGAGTATGACATGAAGCCTCAGTGTTGTTGTGGTTTATGTTTCTCTTATTATGGTTTGGAGCATTTTTTCAGGTGGTTGGGAATACTTGGCAGTTCTTTTGAGAATTCGTTGTTCCTATCCTTTGACCATTTCTCTTTTGGGGAATGGCTATTTGTTGTTGTTTTTCAGTTGTTTCAGTCATGTCTGACTCTTCGTGACACACTTTGGAGTTTTCCGGGCAAAGACACTGGAGAGGTTTGCCATTTCCTTCCCCTTCTCATTTTACAGATAAAGAACAGAGGCGAACAGGCTTATGTGACTGTTGACTTACGTGACTTGGCAGCTTCAAAGGGCTTGGAATGAGATATTCCAGAAGGTAAAGGATCTTGAATTACAACCAATAATCAACTACTCAGTGAAATTAAACATAGTCTTTCAGGGGGAAAACGTGAATTCAATGAAATAGGAGACTTTCAAATCTTCCTGATGAAAAGACCAGAAAATTCGCTCTTAAAACACAAGATTCAAGGGAAGCATAAAATGGTAAACAGGAAAAAAAATCTTATTTAATGAAGTTAAACTGTTTATATCCTTACGTGGGATGATGATACTTGTGACTCTTGAGAATTGTATCTCTATTAGGGCAGTTAGAAGGAGTGTACATAGACAAAAGTTATGGCTATAAGTTGACTTTGATATGATGATATTAAAAAAAATAAGTGCGGGCAGCTAGGTGGCACACTTGGAAAGAACACCAGCCTTGGAGTCAGGGGGACCTCAGTTCAAATCCAGTCTCAGACACTTAACAGCTAGTTGTGTGATCCTGGCCAAGTCACTTAACCCCCATTGCCTCCAAAATTAAAAAAAAAGTGGTGGAAAAAAGGATTGTACTGGGAGAAGAGGAAAAGGGGAGGCAGACTGGGGTAAATTATACCACATGAAAAGGTGCAAAAGACCTGTACAGTAGAGGGAATGAAGGGAGGGGATGAGCATTGTTTGAACCTCACTTATTGAATTTGGCTCAAAGAGGGAATAACATACACCCTTGGTTGATACAGACATCTATCCTACCCTACAGAAAAGTAGGAGGAGAACGGGGAAAGAAAAAAGCAGTGGTGCTGATAGAAAAGAGGGCAGATTGAGGGAGGCAGGGGTTAGAGAAGCAAAACCCTTGTGAGGAGGGACAGGGTGAAAGGACAGAGAAAAAAGCATAAATAGGAAAAATAGGATGTAGAGAAATACAAAGTAATCATAACTGTGAATATGATTAGGATGAACTCTCCCATAAAACAGAAGCAGCAGAGTGGTTGAAAAACCAGAATCCTACAATTTGTTGTTTACAAGAAACACATTTATAGTAGTGAGACACAGAGTAAATGTAAAATACTTCAGCAGAAGGACACAAAAGCAGAGGTAGGAATCCTGATCTCAGACAAAGCAAAAGAAGAAATAGAGCTAATTAAAAGGGGGAAGGAAGGAAACTACATCTTGCTAAAAGGTACCACAGACAATATTATAATATCAGTACTAAACATATATGCACCAAGTGGTAGAGCATTCATAATTTTAGAAGAGAAGTTCAAGTTCAGTAAGTTACAGTAAGAAATAAACAGAATAGAAACAGGGTAGGGACCTCAACTTCCCCCTGTTAGAACTAGATAAATCTAACCACAAAATAAACAAGAAAGAAGTTGAGCAGGTAAATAGAATATTAGAAAAGTTAGGCATGACAGACTTTTGGAGAAAACTGAGTGGGAACAGAAAGGAATATACCTTTTTCTCAGTGGTACATGGCACCTAAGCAAAAAGTTTTATTTGTGTTTCCATTTTTATGTCCCTCTTGACTCTTACCTTTACAATTCAAAGTTTCTGTGCTGCCCTGTCTTCATCATCAGTAATGACTAGAAGTCCTCTGTTTCATTAAAGTGACATTTCCCCCCATGTAGAACTTAATTTTTTATCATGGGTTATTCTTGGTTGAAAATGGATATCCTTTTTCTTCTGGAATATTCTAAGTTCTCTACTCCTTTGAAGTGGTGACAGCTAAATCATGTGTGATCCTGATTGTGGTTCCTCAGTGTCTGAATTCTTTCTAGACCCTTACAGTATTTTTTCTTTAACCTTAAAGCTTTGGGTTTTGTCTAGGATGATCCTGTGAGTTTTCGTTTTGGAGTGTCTTTCCAGAGATGACCAGTGAATTCTTTCTATTTCTAGTGTGACCTCTAGCACTAAGAAGACTTGGCAGTGTTTTTTGACATGTTTTCTTGAAATAAGATGTATGGTCATTCTTTTAAAGTAGTCCAATGATTCTTAAATTTTCTTTCCCCTTCTCTGATTTCCAGGTCAGTACTTTATCTATGAGACACTTCACATTTTCTTCTCATTTGATTTCATTTTAATATTGCACATTGTCTCATAGAGATATAGCTTTGCTTTGCCAATCACATTCTTCCATATGTTTATTGCTTGGGCAAGTTTTGAAGCTCTTGGGCTGAGGCCTTACTTCCCCTTTGGATTCTTTCTTCCTCATTTCTCATCTCTTTTCCAATTTCTCCCTCCAGTGTTCTCATGTCATTTCTAAAAATATTTTAAATTTTCTTAATCTGGTTCAATCTTTTCCATGATTTCTAGGTGAATTTACACACACACACATTGAACTTTTCTTTGAGGTTTACTTGATGATGTTTTAAAGTCATTCTCTTCTTCTGCGCTTGTATCTTGAGCACCCCTGTCAACCACAGTAGCTCTAGTTGTGAGATTCTTCATTGTTTGTTCATCCTTCTAGCCTCCTTCCTGAGTTTGGAGTTGATGTCAGGGCCAGGATCTCTACAGTTCTGGATGGAATGTCTGACAAGATCCTGTGTGAGTGGGAGGGGTAAGAGGAAGGAGGCAAGTCAAGAATTGGGAACTCAAAACTTATGGGAAAAAATGAATGTTAAAAAATGTTTTTAATATGTAATTGGGGAAAAATGAAACATTATTTTTAAAAAGCCTAATCGCCAATGGCAGCTAGGTTTCCAGTGGATAGAGCACCAAACCTAGAGTCAGGAGAACCTGAGTTCAAGTTCAACCTCACACACTTGCTAGCAATGTGACCCTGGGCAAGTCACTTAAGTCTGTTTGCCTCAGTTCCTCTCATGTAAGCTGAGTTGGGGAAGGAAATGGCAAACCTCTCCAGTGTCTTCAGCAAGAAAACACCAATGAGTATCACAAAGAGTCAGGCATGACTGAAACAACTCAAAAACAACAATAGCCATTCCCCAATAGATAAATGGTTAAAGGATATGAACAAAGAATTCTCAAAAGAACTGCCAAGTATTCCCAACCACCTGAAAAAATGCTCCAAACTACTAATAAGAGAAACATAAACCAAAACACTGAGGCTTCATGTCATACTCAACAAAACTGACAAAAATGGCACCAGTCAATATTGGAGGGGTTGTGGGAAGATGGGCACACTAATATCATGTTGGGGTAACTAGGAAATGATAGAAGATCATGAAGATCTGAGTTCAAATCCAGCCTCAGACACTAACAAGCTATGTGACTCTTGTTGGTAAGTCATTGGACCTCTGTTTGCCTCAGTTTCC